TCCGATTGGCGTAAACGGGTGTCATTACCGCCGACGTGGATAACAATCTTACTGTATTTACGTTTATCTTTAGCCAGCAGTTTTAAATAGGATTCAATGTCACCCACTCTGGCCCCAGGGATACATTTAACTATGGCCGCTGGCTTCGCTAACTTCACGTTTCTGACTATGGAGCTGCCAATAACCAGAGTTGGTTCCTCAGCAGGTGTATCGCTGAGTGGGGAAAATGTATTGGAAACGTGAATGGGTTGGTGGTGAACTGTGGGCTTCGCCGTTTTAGTCTTTATCTTTTCCCTTTTGTTTTTGCCCCTGCAGCTACCACTTTACACATACACATAGGCACACACTATCCACACTCATGCATAATATGATTGCCAACCCCTTTCTACACCCTAACCGTGACCACCTAATGTGAATCACAGATCATTCTACCCAATCATTAATAATATGCCCTTGTGTTTGTCAATTGTCTCAATAGTAAATGCACTGTATATAAATCTAAAAAAATCTGATAATAGACAATGTTTCAGTCTAATATGAGCTGAGAGGGGTACTCACATTCGTACATGAACCCACATAACAGTCCACTGCTCACCCATGGACCAACTCAGAAAAAACTCTCTTCATACCAATTACAACAATGTACACAGAATGATTAGATGTAGATTTGATGTTGGTTTTTTTCTGCGATTATCCGACTATTGAAAAGTGGGTTGACTAAGATTCTTCTCAATGGTTAAGTCGACTATTAGCAGGCAGCCCTAAATCCGTTAACCTCATCCATTCAGGCAGCACTAACAATGGTGTTAACCCTAACCTTAACTCTAATGATGAAACATAGGTTTGAAAGTAGTTGGATCCCAAAATGCAATACAGGGTTGTAGAGTTTGCTAGATTCATTAGTTACAGTAGAACAAGCACACAACACATAAAAGAATAATCACAAAACAACTATACCCTTCAAGAATGACTTAGCAAACACAGACACCATATCTCTGTGCATATCTGTGAGTAAACTAAACTGTGTAGGTAAAGGCCATCTATTACTCTCTACAGTGAACTACACTACAGTGTTCAGTCTACACTGAAAATGTACTTCACAAGCAATTTAACATGAACAACTAGGGAGCACTAGTATGCTAGCAGGCTCTTCTAAAGGAGAAGCTGAGGAAGAAAAACTTGTAATCAGCTTGTGACGGCAGGACGTAAACAAACAACAACTGAGAGAGATCACCTGTTGCCTCTAACAACAGCTAAAACACAAGATCACAGCAGCACTGCTGCATCTTTTGCTGACAAAAACAGAAAAAGAAAGAGCCAGTTTTATAGAGTGCAGTAACTGTTACTACTATACGACACTGAAGGCTATTGTACTACAGCTAGCCACAACATCAGTCGTCGACCTCACATCAGCAAGCAATCTTTATCCTGGAGAAGTTGAAGAGGACATGAAGGCAGCTTCAGCACCTTTGTGGCAGTTGAAACGCTGCTGTTTTCCATCCAAACCTCAATATACATCTATGGTCAACACACAGCATACAAGGATAATGGAGGAAGTACTTCATATCAAGTTCACAAAGTTTGTATTTGACAGGATCAAATCTCTGGTGTTTCCTTGTCAGACTGGCACTTAAGTCTGGATATACGTAGATTCGAGTCCCATACTGTGGATATGTGGATCAGTGACAGAAAGCCAAACACCCATCACCACTGTTACTGCCTAAGAAATTAGTTTGCAGGTACTTGTCTTGACCTTATCTTGCCTGGATTTGCTCCTCCCTCTTAGTGCCTTTATAAAGCAGAAAATAACTGATGATAAACATACTAGGTCTGTGGCAAGAGGGGATTATATAATACCTATGAGGGGACTGCCTTTGGACAATCAGGTTTTTCACTGAGAGCAGCTATTTAAATAAGATGGTGAACCTGGTGATACTCAGTGTCATAATTCCGAATACAATTTCCAAAATATAACTATATCTTATCCATAGCTAGTTTGATGGTCTTATAAATTATTAACCAGAAAGTGTCCAATTTAAGCAGACTCCACTCTATGTGGATGATAACCCTTAAGTATTGGAGTTAAGATGAAATAAAATAGATGAAAGTAGAATCTGTAACTCTCTAATTTTGTGAAGCAGGAAACAGATGTGTCAAGACAGTCTGTTTGTCGTGGCAGTTAGCTGTTTAGCGAGACATAACAAGTAACATAACAAGTACGTGTTGGAGAAAATACAGTGTCTTGTGACAAACGCAAAAGGCTAGAGCATTGGATGCCAACCTGGGGGCCTGGACCCCCACTGCAGGACTAAAGCTTTACAGGGACTCACAAGGCCTTTTTAATTTAAAACCTGACCTATATCTCAGCATTTTCTTAATTTTTGGTAGGGAAAACTAAAAGCAATTGTTGCCCAAGTTTAGATTATTATTTAAGATAGAAACTTGAAAGACCTGAACACAAACTATATTTATTTATTTTATTTATTTATAACTTCACTCTCTGATAAACAGCCTTTTACAATACCCATTTATACAAGTGTGCAGTTAAAAACAAAGAGCTAATAGAAAAATGAGAAGTTTGTCAAAAAAAGAAGCCTATTAAGTATGTCTGGTTGACACACACACAGGATAGAATAAAAGGTAACTAAAAATATCAGGAAAACTCAACTCTGACGCAATAACCACAGGAAATAATCTGCTGAAAATTCATCTAAATCGCTTTTTTTACACAAACCTTTTGCAGTTATTTTGTTCATTATGTGGGTTCATTATACAGTTTAATAGCTTATCTGTCTTGTTATTGTTATGCATTGAATATAATATGACATATCCATAACATATGTCACTTATTCAAGGGTCATAAATTCACTCATTGATGAAAAGGGGTCCCTTAAGGAAAAAGGTTGGGAACCACTGATCTGTGGATGGACTGTATAATTGAAAATGGACATTGTCTCCTAAAAAAGACAGCGTAACATACCGCAAATGTATTTGCCATCCTCGTCACAAGGAGACACCAACTGGTGGTTCAGTGCACTTGTGAGTACCTCCAAGATTATAAATACACTGTAAAACCCAATAAATTAATTTAACTCAATCTTTTTTTTCGAATTCTTTTAAGAAAACATTCTTTAGTTGCTTTAAAGTTTAACTAGTAGTTTTAAGTATTACAACTTAATTTTATAAGTTAAATTAACACTGCTGACTTAGTATTTTGTTTTCAGAGTACAAATAAAAAAAAGTATAGTTAACTTTAATATGTTAATTACCTTTTAAAATAAAATATTTAATTTCTCTGTAAGTAATTCATCACTTTGATTAACTTTAAGTTACTAAGTTCAATGAAGCTGTATCAACTCAAAATTGGATATTAGTGTAATTATTTTTTTAAACCGATTTACATAAAATGTATTAAGATGCTTTAACTCAAAATCCCTAACACTAATCACTAAACTAAACACTAAAAGAGTAAACCATTAACAAACACATTAATATAGACAATTTAAATGCAAGTTACTGTTTTATTAACAGTTTCAGGAACCATTAACCAGACATCATTTAACTTGTTTGACAAACACTAAACCCCAAAAACAGTGCAAGAAATGGCCTTGAAGAATGGCTGGAAGAAATCTGGATAAGATAAATCTGTATATTTGTTTATAATTTAAACTCCTGATTGGGCACTGGATCTCATCGACTACAAGTTCATTCACACACTGAGTTACCAAATACTGGCCTAATAAATCAGTCTACCTCATATAAAAGCATCTACCTAAATATATGCAGTATGGTGAAATATGGTAGACAACTCTCACAGCATGGCTTTCATTTAGTAAACACATATTCACATCAAACTTTCAATCCAACTGACAGAAATATAAAAACAGTATTTCAAAAAATAGAGCAAGAGCCCAAAGAAATGGCCTATTTAAGCCCACACTCCCTTAAATATTAAGTTGAAAAGTAACACATTCAAAATATATAGGACCAGTGTCTAGAATGTAGTGGTGTCTAGCGGGGAACTTTTTGCTTGCAACAAACTGAATACTGCTCACGTCTGTATTTGACAACCTGGGAATGTATGTGACATATAAAGGAGAGTATACCTGGGCCTATGGTGGCTGCTAGCTCTGTAAATAAATAAGTTAACAAAAACACAACAATTCTTATTTTCAGGTGAATGAAAATGATGAATATTATATTCAATTTCTGCCAATAGACCCTTCTACATGTCTTTGAATCAGTGATATGATGATGATTGCCATGGTTCTTAACAAAGAAAGAACAAATTACAATATTTCTAAAAAGTCATAAATCCAGTCTTCAAATCATGTTAAATATTTACACATTGAAGTATCATAAATATTTCAAATAAAGATTAGATTGACATATAAATCAACATAATATTCTTTTAACACACGGTAACAACCATACATTCATGTAATGCTCTCATATCCAGCATATTAGTTACACTGGTAACTAGCATATGCTTGATATACGTTCAAACGTAGTAATAGTAGAGAGTGTAACCACCTTTTAAAGTGCAGATCTGAGTTTCTTACTGTGTGCAAAAATAATTTGTCATATGCAGCTCTTTGTCTTATTTTGTTTTATTCATTCATTTGTGTAGCAATGTTTGTGGACTGTTTATCTGTAATCTGTTAAATAACTTTCTATTCTCTGATGTGGGGATGGAGAACGGCAGGTATGATTGTAGAACTGCCTGCATAATTTGTTGATGATTTGCTTCTTAATTCATTCACATGTATTATAAATATTTTCCTGCACAGTTTACCTGCATATTGGAGTTCTTTAACTATTATATTGATTATCATCATCATTTGCATAAAAGCCTACAGGTTGTGTGTACCTATGTACAGAGAGCTAAAAGTTCAGAAGTATTATCAGAAGGGTTTTCTCCCTGATTTTGCCTCCTATGTCTATGAGTTTTGTCCTCTGTCTCTGTTTTATTAAAGTGTTTCCCTCTCTTTTTCTCTTAGTTTGTTCCCAGTTCTCTCGGGGCGTCTATGCCATTTTTGGCTTCTACGACAAGAAGTCTGTAAACACCATCACGTCCTTCTGTGAGACACTTCATGTGTCCTTCATCACACCGTCTTTCCCTGCAGAAGGAATGAATCAGTTTGTTCTTCAGATGAGACCAGACATCAAGGGGCCACTAGTTTCATTAGTGGAGTACTACAAATGGGAAAAATTTGCCTATCTATACGACAGTGATCGAGGTAATGGTTTATTCATTATTTATCACATAGGGAATTTTAGTTTAGTGTTGCTGCTGCTGTTACAGTCTCTGTTGGAATGCACGGCACGGCAACTCTGTAAATTATCTCAAAAACATTTTGGCAATTTCCTTTTATGTATACGGCAATAACAATACATCTTTGATATTATCATATTAGCTATAAACTGATATTTTGTCCTAGCTGATTGACCATGTAACTATTCCTTATATGAGTCTCCATGGACAGTTCACTGACCCACAGGACCATCGTTTTTTTCAGGTATTTGCTCATCGAGAAAAAAACCTAAGCTTTTTTGTCCTGTTCCCGGGAAATTTTATCAGTTTGTATATATTATATTGTGATAAAATTACACTGTGATGGATGATTTAACATAATATCACCCACATATTTGTATTAGGCAATAGATGTGTTCATATTGGCACCAGATTTTTAAGTTTTTTTTTGTTTTACAAAAATGTATGACTTATATTAACAGTGTATACTGTACATGCTTGTCATTTGCTCATTAAAAGTTTTGTCTGCTTAGTGTGTGAAAACCTAAGGAACTTTGGTTTAAGTCAGCAGTGCTTTTCAAGAATTTTTTTTTTAAAGCTTGTTCAAAGGTGTCAGTTCAGTTCTGCCTCATTTGTGGGGATCCCCAGGCTTGTTGGTTTGTTCACATGTGCAGAGTGGTTTAGGTAACATGTAGGTCGATAGTCCACCTGGTTGTTACGTGACAGTCGTTGAGTCAGTGAGTCAAGCTGTGATGGGTTTTTAGATGCCCTGTGACTGACTGATCCATTGTTCTCGCTGTCCCTCTCCCTCATGATTTTCTCTTGCTGATTTTAATTGTACTGGTATGAAAAAAGTCAAGAAAAGAGTCTTCTAGGCATCCTTTGACCTGAGTGACTGAGAAACGCATACAAATGTAATAGTTCTGGTTACTTTCTTCTGTTAGTTTCTGTTGTGTAGTTATTTTTACAATATCCAAGTTGATAATAACCAACACAACATTTAACTAAATGGAGTGACACAACAGATACATATCAGCCACTGATATCAGTGAATACCCTCTTATTTGCTGATAGGCCCATATTAGTCAACAAGGCAAATATAGGTGGATATATCCATAGTAAAATTACGTATTCTAAGGAAGTATTCTAATTTATTTAATCATGTTTTTTTGTGTGCATTTGGGTGTGTAGGTCTTTCTACTCTTCAGGTTATACTGGACACTGCAGCAGAGAAAAAATGGATTGTCACAGCGATAAATGTAGGAAACCTGAAAGATGAGAGGAAGGACGAAGCCTACCGCTCCCTATTTCAGGTACTGATATTCTGTTCATACACTGCAGTATACCCTGATTGTTCTCACACCATGTATTTTTAGAAACACCAAGATACACAAAACCAGACACTTTGGTCAAAAGGGTTGCCACTTCCACAGAATCCAAGGTTCATGACAGTGACATCTCAAGCTCAGTTGTATAATTTCAATTCAATTAAATTGTATTTGTATAGCGCCAATTCATAACAGACGTTATCTCAGGACACTTTGTAAATAATGTTAGTAAGGAGGAGTAAGGAGCCCTGAAATGCCAAAAATGACATCACAGTTTGATATTCAATTCAAAACAGCCAACTTTGACAGCATGCCACGGACACTCCCTTCAACGTACAGTCGCAAATAGCACGGCGTTCATTCAGCAACATTTTTTGACTGTACTGACTAATTTTGAAGCAGATCCGATGAATTCCCTAGGAGGAGTTCGTTCAAATACAAGGCGAAAATTCATCAAAAATGACCACGGAAGTCAAAATGGCCAATTTTGACGGCACGCCACAGACACTCCCTTCAACGTACAGTCACAAAATGCACGGCGTTCATTCAGCAACATTTTTTTACTGTACTGACCAATTTTGAAGCAGATCCGATAAAACCTGTAGGAGAAGTTAATTAAAATAGAACCCTGAAATTCCATAAATGGCTTCACAGTTTGACATTCAATTCAAAATGGCCAACTTTGACAGCACCCCACGGACACTCCCTTCAACGTACAGTCACAAAGTGCATGGCGTTCATTCAGCAAAATCTTTTGACTGTACTGACCAATTTTGAAGTAGATCCGATAAATTCCCTAGGAGGAGTTCCTTCAAATGCAAGCCCAAAAAGTGAAAATGACCACAAAATGGCCGCCAAGACTGAAAATTAAAATGAAAATAGCCGACGTCCTGTGGGTTTTGGGGCATGGGTCCAAGAGGGTTTTTTTGTACGTCTCGGCATGTTACATATGCCTACCGAGTTTCATAAATATCGGTGAAACATGGCGCCGGGGCTGCTTTTTAAAAATCCTGTAGGGGGGCGCTACAAACACGATTTTTGGTATGTGAGCTACAGATACGTGTCTACACGTGTCCTGTGAATTTCATATTCATAACTATTACGGTCTCCGCAGAGTGATTTACATCAGAGCGCCACCTAGCGGATTGTTGACACATTGTTTAGCAAGCCTCAGGGAGCCATTGGCAAGCATCGTACCAAGTTTCATTTTAATCATACATGCCCATGTGGAGATGTAAACTTCTTCATTATAAAGTGTGCCACCTTATGGCGATGACCTGAAATTGTACACAATGCCTAAGGAACACATGTGGAACTATGGACCCAAGGTTGGTGTCAATTGGACATACCAATATGGAGAAATGCTCCTCTCTCTATTTTCACCATAATCTACAGAAAGTGCTAATTTTATAACATGCTTATTTTTTGAAATATCAAAATACTTTAAAAAATGTTTTTGCCAGGACCGTCTCCAGATACCACGTGACAAGTTTCATGCGAATCGGACAAAAGCGTATGGATGGAACACGCAAACGTAGTTTTTGGACATTTCGCGCTCTAGCGAAAAAGAAATCTAGGCGAAAGTGGGCATGGCCTATATAGGGAGACGCAGCTCCATTCACCAAACGCGTGGATATAAGGTTTTTGAACTTGAGACAAACGATGCAGGAGTTATTAGCTTAAACCTACTTTTCTTAATAGTAGCGCCACCTAGTGGACGAGCAGAATGTGACGCATATAATATCTGATTTTTAACCAGGCCTGGCCAATTGGCCAAATATAATACATCTGAAGTATATGTTCAGGGGGTCAAAAATGCAGTGATCATTTCCCACAAATAATAATAACTTTAGAAAACACAATAGACACCTCACAGTGTTTGACACTGGCCAGGTCCCTAATAAACTGAACAATTACAATAGGGTCCTCCCAGTGTTGACACTGGCTCGGTCCCTAATAATATCAGTGATATTAGCAATGGGAGTCAAGCAGGACCATGGCAGGAGGCACCACCAGGATCCATGAGAACCTGCAAGACGAAAAAGCACAAGAACTCCGGGGAAGAGGTGAAGTTAGTAACATGCATTAATGGGGCATGAATGTGTGCAGAAAGAGAGAACGAGGAAGAGAGCAGCTCAGTGCATCATGGGAAATCCCCCAATAGTCTAGGCCTATAGCAGCATAACTAAGGGATTGGTTCAGGACTCACCCAAGCAAGCCCTAACAATAAGCCTTATCAAAGAGGAACGTCTTAAGCCTACTCTTAAATGTGGAGAGGGTGTACTGCTTCCCGAACCAAAACTGGAAGCTGGTTCCACAAGAGAGGAGCTTGGTAGCTGAAGGCTCTGGCTCCTGTTCTACTTTTAGATACTATAGGAACCACAAGTAGCCCTGCATTCAGAGAAAGCACTGTTCTTGTGGGGTAATGGGGTACTATGAGCTCTTTAAGATATGAAGGGGCCTGACCATGAAGAGCTTTGTAGGTGAGGAGGATTTTAAATTATTTTCTGAATTTGACAGGGAGCCAATGCAGGGAAGTGAATACAGGAGAGATATGCTCTCTTTTCCTAGTTCCTGTCAGTACTCGTGCTGCAGCGTTCTGAATTAATTTGACTATTATTATTTTGACTTATTGGCAACCTGATGATAAGGAATTGCAGTAATCCAGCCTAGAAGTAACAAATGTATCGGTTAGTTTTTCTGCATCCATCTGTGACAGGATGTCTAATTTTTGTAATATTGCGTAAATGAAAAAAGGCAGTCCTAGAGGTTTGCTTTATGTGAGAATTGAAGGACATGTCCTGATCACTCCAAGATAACTTAAGATAACTCAAAGATTCCTGACAGGCCAAGGTAATACCATCTAGAGTAACTATATCTTTAGAAAGTGAGTCTCGGAGTTGTTTGGGGCCAAGTACAAGAATTTCCTTTTTTTTCTAAGTTTAGCATCAGAAAATTGCAGCTCATTCAGGTTTTGATGTCTTTAAGACATGTTTGTAACTTCGATAACTGATTAATTTAATCGGGCTTGATCGACAGGTATAACTGGGTATCATCTGCATAACAGTGAAAGTTAATGGAGTGATTCCTAATAATATTGCCTAAGGGAAGCATATATAAAGTGAATAGAATTGGTCCAAGTACAGAACCTTGTGGAACTCCATGACTAACCTTAGTATTTATGGAGGATTAATCGTTAACGTGTACAAACTGAGAACGATTTGATAAGTATGACTTAAACCAGCTTAGTGTGGTTCCTTAAATGCCAATTTGATGCTCAAGTCTCTGTAAAAGAATATTATGGTCAATGGTGTCGAATGCGGCACTAAGATCTAATAATACAAGTACAGAGACCATTGTCAGAAGCAATAAAAAGGTTGTTATATCGTGTAAAGAAGTGCCAATTAAGGGTATGACTTCTTTAAGCAGACTAGTTGGGATGCGGTCTAACAGACAGGTTGATGGCTTCGATGTAGAAATCATTGAAGGTAGTTGATGAAGAAAGTCTAAATATATTAATATATAACTTGGAGAGACAACGATACCTGTTGAGGGCATTTGATTATTAATTTTGTCTCTAATAGTAATAATTTTATCATAAAAGAACATAATCCATGATGGATCTATTTAAAATACATACAAACTTTTATAAAACTTTCTATAAGAAAACATTTAAATTGTCTTCTAAATACTACTACTATATAAAAAAAAAAGAATCAGAGAAATAAACCAAATAGCAACAATTATGTACACAGATAAAAAGCTCAAATAGAGTAGAGGCTTGCATAATAATGCACTCTTTTGTGCAGCTTTACTACTACTACTATACCACTTCTACTGCTACTTCCATAACAAGAGAAACAAGACGGTACCAGTACATTTGTGGCTACTGCTACAGGATGTATAGTGACGTACTACTAAGATATGTCTCTACAAGGACCTCACACATTTTTAAAGCCTACAAAACAGCACTGTACAGTTACCTAACCTAGAAAATTATACAGTTAGTCCATCTATGAAACGAAAGTTCAGTTTATTATACATCTGCGTGAATAATGTTCTGTGGTACTGCATCAGCAGTATATCGTGACCATTGCCCGTCTCTCACCATATATAAGGCAGGCCCAAATCACGGGGAGATGGGGTACCATAGTTCATTTGATTATTTCAAGCAATTATATCTATCTTTTATTGCCTACAAGGGTCTAATGGTGCCTATTGTAGTTGTGCTTCATCATAAATTTAAATAATTTTGTTTTGGTATCTTCTCTGGCACTTGTGAGGCATCCGTTAATATCTTATTATTTGGTAAAGTGATTTTAGTAATCTAGTAATAGGGATAATAGAGACAGTGTCGTATACCCACCAAATTATTTTAAATGGCAAGAACCGGCATATGGTCATTACATAGAAAACAGCACAGATTGAGATGGGTAGTAAATGAGCTGTTTAATTTCCGGAATTTACTAGATGCATCTGGATGTAGTTTTTGAAGGTTTAGTCTTTATACTTGTGACTTGTGTTGTTCTCTGAGTAAAAAAAACCTAGGGTATATCAGAAAATAATTTTGAATTAATTAACATTTTACATATAATTGCTACCAGATTCCATTATCCTTTACAGTAATCTTTTTAAGAAATAACAACTACATATCAGTTCCTGTCACAGAAATTGTCATGATTTTGACATTATGGTACATGTCAAATAAGGCTTTACCAATTGGTTGTGAGGCAATGTGAGGCAATTTTTTCAGTTTTCGGTTTCTGTAATTTCAGGTAGGTCTATTTCAATGTATTTACCTACCAATGACAGTTAGAAAAATAACATGAATGTTCAAGTACAGAGTTCCCGAGGCTGTCATTAAAGGTGGTGGGCAGAATGCAGCGTGTAGCTGGATTATATACACTCTATACTGTACCTCTCCTCCCACAGCCAGTCACCAAAATATCAGACTGGTGCAGGTGAGGAAGGAACCTTACTGTACATCAGGATAATATCATTAGGTGCACTTGGTGTTTGCAGAGCTATGCTCCATATTGTGGATCTACACAACATTAACTTTGATGTTGAATACTGTTAAATATCACAAACATTGCTCAAGACGGTAACGGTAAAGGGTAACACAAAGACTATGGTCTAGACCTGCTCTATATGAAAAGTGTCCTGAGACAACTTATTGTTATTATTTGGCATTAAAAATTAAATTAATTCAAACCCAATGTTAGACGCAAACTCAATATATACTATACTGTTTCCAGTGACATAAACCAAAAAAGTGCTGTATAAATATCATTTTACCTTTTTTACCAATTTAATTAAAATTGACTTACTGTTTGTTAGGACCTGGAGATCCGCAAGGAGCGACGCATCATCCTGGACTGTGAACAAGACAAAGTGAAAGACATAATGGAACAGGTTGATTCCTATCTTCATTCCAGTTGCTCTACTATTATTTATTTTTTTATTTTTATATATATATATATATCATAATATCATCTCTTTCATATATCCATCATTAACAAAACGTTTTTTTTCCTCCACATGCTACAGATCCATCCTCTGCAGTTTATTATACTCTGTCAAATATGATACTATTTCCAGATGTCATCTTTCTTTATTTGGCACAGACTTTATGGTTGCTGGATTACTATGCGAAATTGCATTATATGCACGATTACCAATACATTCACATCTGATTTTATCATTACTTACTTAAGCTGTCTCTGACTCTACATCAAGTTGATGGCTTGCGTATTCACTAAGTACCTAATGCCACTAAGTGTGTTGTTCAACTGTTTTGTTTTTTATTGTTCTATTACTTTAAAACTTACTTGGAAATAAACCCAATTCTGATAATTGATTCTACCACAACCACTTTCCTACCCATTCTCTAATATTGCAAATCAATGTGAATTAGCTGCCGACTGTCACTGTCCAGTGAAAACCATGTATCTCCTAAATTTGATAAACTGAAGGGATCAAGTGTTCCTTTATGGACTGGAAAAAAATCCCATACATTTGGAGACACATTTTTTTAATAGGGAACTGGCAAATGATAAAAAAAACAGCAATGTTTTTTATTTTCATAAGTTATGTTTATTATTGACACTAGTTGTATTATTTTCTCATCAGGTGATCACTATAGGCAGACATGTGAAGGGATACCACTATATCATCGCTAACTTGGTGAGTCACTATCTCTTGCCCTAGTTTGACGTGCATGGACTGGTTGAGTTTTAGTAGGTAGATTAGCTGATGTTAACATTGCAAGCCATAGCTAAATAGGTAGGTAGGTAGGTAGGTAGAAAAAAAGGCCTGTATTTGTCTATTTGTCTCAAATTTTCTATTCACAAGCTTGCTTTTGTTGGTTGTTATGTTTTTGATCTGCCTCTGTTTGACCAGTAAAAAGGCACACACTTGTGGCTAAGCAAAATTAAACTGCCACTGATGGCAGGTGTGCTGGTCTTTGTTAATAATAAGAAAAGGTGGTAGTTACAGTAGAGGTTGTTGACGTTGTTAAACATTACTAGTTAAGTATAACTATGGTGTGTGGTAAAACACATATACCACTACACCCCATCTCCAAGTTGGGTTAATATTGGTCGATTAGTATTGTTCCAGGCTCCATCAGATCCTGACACAGACACAGAATGACAAAAGGCTAAACATACAGCCTCAACTGACATTTTTTTGCTCATGGTGTTGATCTTATTCCAGGGATTTGTAGATGGCGACCTCTCTAAAATCCAGTATGGAGGTGCAAATGTGTCTGGCTTTCAGATAGTAGATTTTGATGATCCTGTGGTGGCAAAGTTTGACCAACGATGGGAGGCCCTGGAAGAGAAGGAGTATCCTGGAGCTGATACACGGATCAGAGTAAGATTTCCACATCATTACACATTATTATTATAATCATCATGAATGTTGTACTTAATGATTGTACAAGAATAAACAGTATCCCATACATAATTCAATGCAAGAACAATGTGTTAATTAATGCAACAACTAATGTATTTCAGTGATCATGATTTCTGAGTAATTAATGATGTTCCTGTCTTCTTCATAGCTAAGTCAGCAGTTAAAAGGACAGGGCAAAAAACTGACCATTCACAGCACAGGCTAGGGTTAGTAGTTAGTGGGCATGTGTGCCTGTGTTAAAGTTATTTCTGATTTCAAAAAGTCTTTGCTGTGTGGTATCCATTGTGGAGGTCAAAGGGATCTAGTTTGCGCCATTGTTTCCTTGTAAAGTAAGCAGTTAGCAGTGCAGCTTTGTGATGCTCCTTTAAAGTCAGTTGGCAGGCTTTGTGTCTGTGGCCACAGATGCTAATTCAACTCATTTACTCTTGTTAGCAGTGTGCTAAGCAGGAATCCTAAGGAAAAGAAAGGCTTTGGTGCCATGCTGTATTGCTTTCTTGTCCCCACGTTGGTGCTGCACCGAGGTTCAAGTGGTATCATAAGCTACTACGCTTGTTATTAAGTTGGCTTCAAATGAGGTTTAACATAACCTAGAAAATACACAATAAAACAATATAAACGGGGCAGAGCTTCCAAGTTTGGTCACGGACAGCCAGTATTAATCCACCCTTGAGCCTGAAATAAGTTACCAGGGCTCTTGTTGATAAGCAGTCCATAGTAAAATACACAAACACATTCCTGTTTTTCTGTCATGTTGTGAAAACAGAATCGCTGGTGAAAAGAAACCAAAATGCAAGTTGTGTTTTTTGGACGACGTTATAAAACATACTGCTTAAGAAAGTCAACAGAGATACATACAAGGGGCTGGAGAAACAAAAAGAGGTTTGGTTGGGAGAGCCTGTGTATGTGTGTGTGAGCGAGAGAGACACAGACCTCATACGTCCTAGAACCACACAGCAGGCAGGACAAGGATGATGTTCAAAAATGAGTTATCTCACCTCAGCCCTGACATTTGGGGTTATTGAGGTGATAGTGAGTTTTGCCAATGTTTATATGTCTTTCAGTATACCTCAGCCCTCACCTATGATGCTGTCCACGTGATGACAGAGGCATTCCGCTTCCTTCACAAGCAGAGAATAGACATGAGTCGTCGTGGCAACAGTGGGGACTGTCTAGCCAATCCGGCAGTGCCTTGGGCACAGGGGGTGGAGATTGAACGTGCCCTCAAACAGGTAACCATTATTCAGTTAAATTAAATTTTTTGAAGTTATCTCAGGACACTTTTTAAGTAGAGCAGGTCTAGACTGCACTCCTTATAAAATAATAATATTAGATATTATACCCTCCTAAGTAAGAAGAGAGATAGAATAACCCTGTTCTATTTAAGTGTAGTTACACCTTAATTCTGCTAGCTCTCTTTTCATCTTAGCCATTTTAAAAAATAGATCAGAAACCTGCAAAGTCAGAGCTAACCAACCATGAGCAGCTGCAATTATTTCTTCATCAAAGCCATCAACCTGTCTCTTAGACCCCATCCCAACTATGTTGCTAAAAGAGGTCTTAGCCTTTGTTGGTACTTCTCTACTGGATATGATCAATCTTTCTTTTGACAGGCAAAAATAAATACAATGGGAAATTATTATGCTTAATTTTCTCCAGGTCTAAGTACAGCATGAGGTCCTTAAGCCACATGGAAGCACTGTGGGCAAAAGGTGACTTCCATTCCAAAATCCACAAAATTATTTTTTGTTTGGAATTGGTAAAATAAATACGGTGGACCACCTTAAATTGGATCAAATTAAGCCTGGAGCAAGATGTACTGTTATTTACTCGAGATAGTGCAGAGTCCCAGTCATTGTCATCTATAACTCTGCAAAGTTCTTCTTCCCTGTCTTTTCTGATTTTATCACATTTTTTAGATAAGGGCTTTCTGGTTTATGGGAAGGTCCAAAATTGAGTCAATTACTGAGTTAGGTGGAATATTGGGGAAAAAGGTGCTATGTGATTTAACAACGTAGGAAGGTTAAATGTTTCACATAGTTCACTGAAGCTAGCGAAGACATTGTTAGTATAGAGGTCCTTAGCCTGACAAGGGCCTGATCTCTGCCATAAAGAAAAGGCTGTATCTGTGCTAGGAGGGAGGAAGAGATGGTTATTATGAATGGGGCTATGATTGGACAATCCCTGTCCAAAAGTATATCTAAATTGAGACCAAATTTTAACGGTGGAGAGGACAATTGGATGTAATGTAAATGTAAATTGGGATGATCGAAAGGGCAATTTTGATGTAAGCAAAGCTAAAAGTGAGGTAGAACAGGATTTAGCCTCCAGTTTACACCAATTTAATTCAGGTTCTTGGATCCAGAGAGTCATTTTGTGTATGTTAGCTGCCCAATAGTAGAGTCTTAAGTTAGGGAGTGACAGTCCACCTACGGACCTATGCCTTTGTAAAAACTCTTTCCTTATCCCGGGGGTCTTGCCTTTCCATATAAAAGATGAGATTAGTTTGTTTATAACACGAAAAAAGGAATTGGGTAAAAAGATCGGCAAACATTGAAAAAGATAGAGAAAGCGTGGAAGCACTTTCATTTTAATGCAATTTATCCTGCTTGCTATAGTTATATGCAAATTATTCCAACTTTCCAGATCTGATTTAAGCTTGTCGATTAGGGGTCGAAAGTTGCTCTTGCAGAGATCTGATATATTACGGCAGATATGCACACCTAAGTACTTAAAGCTGTTTTTAGATATTTTAAATGGGAGATACACATCAGGGATCCCAAGGGCCAAGTTATTTACAGGAAAACATTCACCCTTTGAAAAGTTCAATTTATAACCTGAAAATGTTCCAAATTTATTTAGCAATTCAATTGTCTTAGGGATGGTAGTTATTGGATAGAAATAAACAATAATAATTCATCCGCATATAAAGTGTATGTTCCAAACCGCATCTGTGGATTCCTTAACTAAAACTGGACGATTTAAGTGCAATAGATAAAGGTTTGATCGCCACAGCAAACAACAACTGGCTCAAAGGACACCCTTGGCGGGTTCCTCTGCTGAGTGTGAAATATTGGGATTTCATACCATTAGTGCTTACGGATGCTTTAGGAGAAGAATATAAAAGAGCGATCCAAGATACATACTTTGACCCAATGCAGAACCTCTGTAAGATCTCCAACAGAAAACTCCACTCCACCCTATCGAAAGCTTTCTCCGCATCCAAGGAGACCACCACTTCTGGTGTTACCCTGGATGCTGGAGAAAAAAGAATGTTGAAGAGGCGGCGAATGTTGGAGAAACGTAAACCCAGTTTGGTCGAGTGAAATGATGCTTGGCATAATCGATTCAAGTTGTAAGGCCAGTGCTTTAGCCAAAATCTTATAATCAGCATTTAAAAGAGAAATGGGACGGTAAGAACTACAATCAGAATGTTCTTTACCCGGTTTTAGTAATAAGGTTATTGACGCTTCGGTTAGAGTTTGAGGCAGGGCTCCCCGGTCCAGAGAGTCATTGAACATGTTTAAAAGGAGAGGGATTAATTTATCAGCAATTTAAAAAAAAAAAAAAAAAAAAAAAACTCTATAAGATAGCCGTCTGGGCCAGGGCCCTTGCCACTTTGCATTAGTTTAATTGAATCTGCAAATTTTTAAAGGTCGATCCATTTCGCTCTTCTGAGCAGAAGATATGGATGGGAATTCCAGGTTATCCAGGAAACTCATCATGTTTGTTTTGTCGGTTGGGGATTGTGAAGTATATAATTAAGAGTGAAATGTTTTAAAGGTTTTATTTATGATGGATGTCATTACTGTAGGTGCACCTGAGGGGGTTCTGATCTGTTTAATTTGCTGGGATACTGATTGGCTTTTAATTTGGCATGACAGATGACGTCCTGCCTTTTCACCGTGCTCATAAAGAAATCCACGCGATCGTATAATTAATTTTTCAGTTTCTTGTGTTGACACTAAGTTGTAGTTCATTTGAAGGTTTTGTCTCTCCTTGTCTAATTCAGGGGATGGAGATACTGATAACTTTCTGTCCAATTCTGTTATGCTTTCCATGACCTGTTCCTGTTTTAGTTTTTTCAGTTTATTTAGTCTCGCAGAATAAGATATAATCTCTCCTCGGACTACCACCTTTAGTGTCTCCCAAAGTAGAGATGGGGATATGAGATTAGACTTGTTAGTAATAAGAAAATTGTCAAATACTTTTGAGATTGTTTTGCAGAATCCATCATCGTTCAGCAATGTGCAATCCAACCTCCACAGGGGGCGTGTTTTTTGTAAGAGTGTAAAAGAAAGGTTGAGTAGCAATCGAGCGTGGTCAGATATCACTATCATTGAGTATTCCATATTCTCGACAGCAGGAAGAAAATGATTATGAATGTAAAAGTAATAAATTCTTGAAAATGTTTTATGGACCTGAGCGTAAAAAGAAAATTTTTTTTTTACAGGATAGAGAAAGCGCCAAGGGTCCACACGTACCATTTGATCCATAAATGATGAAATAGCTTTGGCCATTCTAGAAGGAGGATCCTGCCTTGGGCGGGATTTGTCTAACAAAGGGTCTATCAAGGTCATCCCCTAAGATTAAATGTTGGGAACCTAGATCTGGTAAAAGTGATGTTACTTTCCTAATAAATGCCTCATCATCCCAATTGGGTGCATAGAGATTGACAAGAGCAAAAGGGACATTATTAAGGGAGCCTGAGACTATAACAAATGGCCTTGGTGGTCAGCTATAACGTTTGTTGGGCTAAACTGTATTTTTTTTATGTATTAAAATCGCTGTACCCCTTGCCTTGCTACTAAAATTTGAATCGAAAATTTGGCCGACCCATGAAGCCTTTAACCTATGGTGATCCTTAGTGATCAAATGCTTTTTAAGTGGGCTGTTGAGCCCTTTAACATTCCAAGAGACAAATCTCAAACAAGATACCCCTTTTTTTGTTGTAGTAGCCATAATCTTGTAAGTATATGGTGAGAAGAAACAATGCTTTGTTGAAGGAAGTAGTGTTAAAAACACACAGACAATAATAAAAATAAAAGCGAATCTGTAGGACGGCGGGCTGTGGCTCAGAGGCAGAGCAGGTCGTTCCTCAATCGGAAGGTTGTGGGTTCGATCCCCGGCTCCTGGTGCCACATGTCGAAGTATCCTTGAGCAAGATACTGAACCCCGAATTGCTCCCGATGCCGTGCATCGGTGTGTGAGTGTGTATGAATGTTAGTTTCTGTTCGATGGACTTTGCCATCACTGAGTGAATGTGTGTGAAAGGGTGAATGTGGCACGTAGTGTAAAAGCGCTTTGAGTGGTCGGAAGACTAGAAAGGCGCTATACAAGTACAGGTCCATTTACCATTTACCATTTACCATCCCAATTCCCCAAAACAAAAACCCTCAAAACAGGGAACAGGTACACACACCTAAACCTCCCTAAGCTTGTCCTAAGAACGAGAACTAGCAGTGGGACTCCATAAACTCTGTTACTTCTGTATGACATGAATCCGTGGACTAATCACTCACCGAGCAGACAGGGCTCCTATATCTGAAAATGTGTCTACAATGTAAAATCAGGGGTGGAAAGAGTACCAAAAATCTACTCAAGTAAAAGTACTGTTACCTTGATGAAATTTCACTTAAGTAAAAGTACTGGTGTAAATGGTAATGGACCTGTACTTGTATAGCGCCTTTCTAGTCTTCCGACCAGTCAAAACGCTTTTACACTACGTGCCACATTCACCCTTTCACACACATTCACACAGTGATGGCAAAGTCCATCGAACAGAAACTAACATTCATACACATTCACACACCGATGCACGGCATCAGGAGCAATTTGGTATCTTGCTCAAAGATATTTCGACATGTGGCACCAGGAGCTGGGGATCGAACCCACAACCTTCCGATTTAGGAACGACCCGCTCTGCCTCTGAGCCACATCTACTAAAAATCTACTCAAGTAAAAGTAAAAAGTAGCTAATTTAAAATGTAGTTAGTTACTTCTTGGGGGGTGTATAATTTTTCCCCATGCAATAAAAAAGTACAAAAACGTACACAAAGCTCAAAAGAAAACACATAGATCACAGATAGATCCAGATTACAGTTCCTCCTTAATTACTCAATGAACTTGCTATTTAGTTTGAACAGGAGCTGGTTTTCAGGACACCATCAGGTGAGTCAGAAATAATAATCAGAAATCAGAAATAGTCCACTGAGGTATGACACCACAGCCTTCTTCATTTGATTGGAAGCTGCCTGTATTCTGGCCCGGAGAGTGGGTCTGGAAATGATCTTGCATTGAGGATTCATTGTTGATACAAGTTCTTTAAAAGCAGGTTGTTCAACCACAGCAAATGGATGAAGGCCTTCACAAATGAAGTTAATCAGAACCTTGTCAACTTTTGCTTGCGGCACACGTTTGGTTCCACCCACTGCCACCAAGTCAGATATTTTTGCTTGCTTGCTTGGGGTTTTTTCTGGTTCCAGGGTCCGCTTCAGTGCTGCCACGAGGTCAGTGTAGACTTTCATCTTTGGTGGATGTTTCTTCTGTGAACAAAAAACAAACATCATCATCATAAATAATCAATACCATGTTTTCATTAAACATACAGTTAATCTATTAATATAAAAAATATTTTAATTCATATTTTTCAAAGTGTCATGTAGAAAGAGTAGACTATATCATGGATGGGTCACTAGCAGACTTTAAGTGTGGTCCCAGATCACCCGGTTTTATCCTGCATATAAGATTACTGAATGAAAAACATTCACCAATATATCTATCTATCTATCTATCAATCAATCTTTATTTATATAGCGCCCAATAACAACAGTCATCTCAAGGCACTTTACACATAGAGCAGGTCTAGACCATACTCTTTAATTTAATTTTAAAGAGACCCAATATTAGAACAACACTAGAACATCTTTTATTAGCCAAAACTTAATAACTTTTTGGTGCATTTTTCAATCTGTTAATACACTCATAAGCAATTTTCAACGCATATCATAGCAAAATTAGCATAATTTTGTGTGAAATTAAGGAATGAGTCAAATTTTATTGTTTAAAATGAAGCTTACTAGCTTACTACCAAGTTAGCTACATTAAATAGCACTGTAAAGCTGGCTGCTAACACTGATGTTAGCATACCATGATTGAGTAAAGTTATTAATTGCATGGATCCATGATTAATTGCATGTAACATTATTTAGCTTCACGTGAGGTTATCTTACCTGGCTGTACATGCTTGCACAGGTTGGAAGCAGAGTTTTTGTAGGTGGATAGCTCTTTCGGGATACAAAGTTTATATTGCATGATGATATTGTCATTCGCGGAAGTCCTTTAAGTATGGCCAGGGATTGGCCTCACGTTCTCCGTGCGAGTCTCTGTGTCCCAAATTCGACCCTTCTCCATCGATACACTTGTCTCCATCCGTCTCCATCATCTTTTAGCTAGCTCCTCTGTGGCACCAACGTCTCGATGTTTCTGACCTTCTGGTGCTGCAGTTGTCCAGAGCCAATCAGATGGACAGTTACCGGCACACAGACGCAGTGCAAGTTCATCTATTTATTTATTTTTACTTTGTAACGGAAGCTATTTAAAATGTAGTGAAGTAAATTACTTCCAACAATATGTACTCAAGTAAAAGTAAAATTACTGATTTTAAAAATTACTCAGAAGTACAAGTACACAAAAAAACTACTCAGTTACAGTAACGAGAGTAAATGTACCTCGTTACTTTCCACCCCTGTGTACAATGGGCGCAAAATAAAAGGAAATAGCAGGGGGCGGCAGTTGGGTGCTGATCCAAGTGACAAAAGAATAACTTAAGTAGCCCCTGGTAACTACATCTTGTCCATATCAAACAAGAGAAAATAAGAAAATTAAAAATGTTAACTTACTATAGAAAAGTTAATAATAGCTTTAAGGGAAAAAAAATAAAAACAAATTGCCATTCAAGAGCTGTCATTCTGGCGCATCTTTTCCATAACTGGCCGTTTATAAATGTCCATAAACTTAGTCCAGATATAGCCGGCGTCCTCAATAAGTGGCTTCCACTAGCCAGTGGCAGCAATGCGCTCGTCGTAAAAATCCTGGGGTTTTTGTGGAGAGTCAAAGTAAAAGTTCTCATTTCGGAACGAGACCTGGAGACGGACAGGATGCAAACAAGCAGATTTTAATTCCTTTCAGATAAAGAGAGTTTTTGACGGCGTTCAATGCAGCCAGAGCAGAGCAGTGCTAATGTCTAAATACACTCTCAGCTCGGAGCCGTGGTAATCCAGCTTGTGTTGTCTGGCCCATTTGAGGACTTTTTCTTTCTCTTGGAAACGGAGGAACTTAACGATAAAGGTCCTCGGTTTCCCCGCACCGGCACCTCCTGGTCTAGGGCCAAGGGAGCGGTGAGCTCTCTCTATCCCCGGAGGGCTGCTGAAAACACTGGGGTCTGTCACCGCCATTAGCAGGTTGGAAACAAACTTGGTTGGGTCTTGGTCCTTCTCGCTCCCTTTGGGTATGTTGATAATCCTCAAGTTAGAGCGCCTAGACCAATTCTCGAGATCCTCCACTCGTTCCAGGAGCACCGCGGCTTGAGACTGTAAGGACTTAACAACAGCTTCCATCTCGGTGAGTTTCTCGAAGTTTTCACCCGCTAAAACTTCAGTTTTAAAACTTGCGAGATGCTCGTTGCTTGAGTCGTTGTTGTCGATTGACTTTGAGCTGCTCATTACACTTACATCCACATAAAAGCTCAATAATGCCTGAGTCGGCCCGAAGAAAAGCACTGTTAATTTGGTAGACTTGAAGAGTAAATTAAAAATTTGGCCAGAACTCCCTGCTTGCACGTCTGCACTCTACCTCATCAAACCGGAAGTCAAAACCTGAGCTTTTCTGATGGTAAACTGAGAAAAAAATGAAGCCCCAAACTCATTATCAAAAGATATAGTTACTCTAGAAGGTATTACCATGGCCTCCAGTACAACCATCACAATCTTTGAGTTATCTTTGATCAGGATATGTCCTTTAACTCCCACATAAAGCAAACCTCTAGGACTGCCTTTTTTCACTTAACATTGTTTTCACTCAACTTAACAATCCAAGACATCCTGTCACAGATGCAGAAAACTAGTTCATGCATTTGTTACTTCTAGGTTGGATTACTGCAACTCCTTATTATCAGGCCAATAACTCCAATAAGATACAATTGATTCAGAATGCTTAGGCACGATTACTGACAGAAACTAGGAAAAGAGGTAAAATTTCTCCTGTATTAGCTTCTCCGCACTGGCTGCCTATAAAATTCAGAATAGAAATTTAAAATCCTCCTCTTTACCTACAAAGCTCTTCATGGTCAGGAACCTTCATAGCTAAAGGAGCTCATAGTACCCTATTACGCCAGAACACAGCGCTCTCTAAATGTAGGACTATTATAATCCTATAGTCTCCAAAAGTAGAACAGAAGCCAGAGCCTTCAGCTATCCTGCTCATCTCCTATGGAACCAGCTTCCAGTTTGGGTTCGGGAGGCGGGAACCCTCTCTACATTTAAGAGTTGACTTAAGACGTTCCTCTTTGATAAAGCTTATAGTTAGTGCTGGCTCAGGTACATCCTGAAAAATCCCTTAGTAGTACAGCTATAGGCCTAGACTGCCATCATCATCATCATCATCATCATCATCATCATCATCATCATCATCATCATCATCTGTTGCTGTGCACCTTTGTCTCTGTCTTTCTCTCTTTACCACCCATCCCCTCTCTCTCTCTCTCTCTCTCTCTCTCTCTCTCTCTCTCTCTCTCTCAACCTTAACTGGTCGAGGCAGACTGCCACCAAGTTTTTCCTTGCCGCTGTTGCCGAGTGCTTGCTGCTCATGGTGGGAACTATTGGGTCTCTGTAAATAATTTTAGTGCAGTCAAGACCTACTCTATTTGAAAAGTGTCCTGATACAACGTTTGTTATGAATTGGTGCTATACAAATAAAATTGAATTGAATTAATTTGAAAAAATATCAACCGAGGATTAATCCCCATGAATGATGCGTCTTGATCAGTATACATTTCAAAATGAGTGCACAGATTCCCACTCAAAGTGGAGGCTGAGAGAGGCGAGCCACACTTTTTTTTTTAATATAAAGGCCAGTGCAGACACTTACATGTATGTGTAACCTGTATGCGTTTGTTGCTTTATCTTTCTGCGAGAGAGAGAAACGGACAGAGGCAAGCTGTTGTGTGTGTGCTGCGGTGTGCAAAAGGAGACAACAGGTGTTTTCACACTTGTCTATTTCAGCCCTCTAAATGAACTCATTTTTTGCGTATATGTGAACACTCTTAACAAGCTTAGACCCTTCTGAAATAAACCCTATTCAGACCTCCTTGGGAGGTTGTCTGAGTACAGTTTGCCTCAAGTGTGCATTGCAGTTCATTTAATCTGTGCATTGTGAACACAGTGCAGGTTCGCCCTTTGTCAGTGTATTTTACCCAGCACCGCCACATCATGTGCCTACACAAAAAGAACTGAGTCCCTTTACTAATGCTCGACTTATTGGTTTACTTTAAGAGTACTGGGTTTGGTTCATTTAAAAGGGACTATATATGAAAAAAAAAAAAAACCTGAGGTGTAGGTGTGCGAATATCCAAATCCCAAATACTTACCCAATGAACGTAATCCAAAAGTGAGATATTCAGGCACAGCCCTAATTCATGATCCTATCCCCAGATGAATGTTGATTTAATGTGGCTTATTTCCCTATTGTTGACAACATGGCGTAAGTTAATAAGAGAACCCCTGCACAACAAGTAAAAAAATAAGTTAAAAATGTGTGAACTTAAATAATGTGTATAATGTTAAAAAAAAAAAAAAAAAAATATATATATATATATATATATATATATAATTGTGTGTGTGTGTGTGTGTGTGTGTGTGTGTGTAGGTGCGTGTGGATGGCTTGACAGGTAACATTCAGTTTGATCAGTACGGGAAGAGAATTAACTACTCAGTGACAGTTATGGAGCTGAAGAACAATGGACCTGTTAAGGTAACCAAAGAATCAATCACCAAAACCATGTTAGCGTGTAGCTATGTGGAAGATATATGACCTGATTGTGTGTTTGTTTTCTTAGATTGGCTATTGGAATGAAGTGGATAAAATGGTGGTGACAAAATCGGACCTTTACCCAAACGACACCATGGGAATGGAAAACAAGACAGTAATTGTTACAACAATACTGGTAATGAACAGACTAATGCAGTGGCTTTGTCACTGTAACACCCAATGTTGATGTGTAGGTGCTTAGGTGCTTAGGCTACTGAGAGGATTTCGGTTTGAACAGAGCCCGGGCATGAGAAGTTACTAATGTAAAACTGTAGCTCGGAATTGGGCATTCTCTCAGCTTTCTTTACATAAATGTAATTTTTTTTTTTTAAAGAAACCCATGATATTTTCCTCCTGACATATAATGTTTTGTGCCACTATGACAGAGTGCAATGTTACATTATGCAAATTGACAATAAGTGCTGTAAGTTAAATGGACAAGCATATGATTACTAAATGCAAAGGCTGTGTTTTCTGTACTTTTAAATTGCAAGTTCATATTCACATAGGCAATATGAAAAACACATCATAATTCACATTACAGCATGTCATATTGTTAGGACTACTGTGTGAAAATAATAAGCATAAATCACTGTATGTGTGTGTGTCCGTCTGTGTCCATGTGTGTCCATGCATGCAGGAAGCTCCTTACGTGATGCTTAAGAAGAATGCCGAGTTATTTCAAGATAACGATCGTTACGAAGGTATGTATCATAAACAGAACTTCGTAAAACTTTTTTTTACATATGCTGCCTCATGGAATAATGTACAGAAAGACTTGAACTTGTCAGAGCTGATTACTATTGGGGGATTTAAGTCAATCTTAAATGATTGAAAAATTTGTACTTTTGGTCAATGTGATTACGTCTAACTTGTCATTGAAATTATTTCAGTAAATTGTATCTGTTTACCTGTTCTTTTTGAATGCTGGACTCTCCATCTCTATTGTAAGATCTCTGCTGAGTGTTTCTTTCACATCACCAAAAAGTAGACATGAACATGTCTAATAACACCTTGCATAAAAGGATGTTTTTCCGTGCCGCCGTCTCCAAGTGCTTGCTCATGGTGGGAACTGTTGGGTCTTTGTAAATAGTTTTATAAGGAGTACGGTCTAGACCTGCTCTATTTTGTTAAGTGTCCTGAGATAACTTCTGTTATGAATTGGCGCTATACAAATAAAATTTAATTTAATTAAATAATAAAACTGCACGTGGCGGAAAGGGACCTGCTCGCCTCCCAACCTTTGCTACTGCTGGCTTCAAGCTAGCAACAAATTTCCAAACTAGCCGCAAACTAGCAATACATTTCCAAACTAGCCGCAAACTAGCAATACATTTCCAGTCGCCATGAGCCAACGAGGAAGACGAGCTCCTGTTTATTTGGCAGAAAATGTAAAGCATTTGTAGTCTTTTAATGAGCATTCCGACAAGTTAGAGCAGTTTCCAGAAGCTTTAGTCCACCCAGCAAGCACTCAGAAAAGATTGTCCACGACTGAAAGTCAAACTGCACACCACGAACAGGAATTCATGCCATCTTTTTTAAAGAAGCTCCATTCTATCATACTGCCCCTTATATGGTGCTACAAATCACACAGGATATCCAAACCTCACCTTCATAAACCTCTTAAAGAGGGTGGTCTTAGTCTGCCTGTTTTCAAATAGTAAATGGACCTGTACTTGTATAGCGCCTTTCTAGTCTTCCAACTTTTACACTACGTGCCACATTCACCGTTTCACACACATTCACTCAATGATGATAAGCCCATCAAACGGAAACTAACTCATTCATACACATTCACAACATGGAGCAATTGGGGGTTCAGTATCTTGCTCAAGGATACTTCGACATGTGGCAAGCCAGGGATCGAACCAACAACCTTCCAATTGGCAGATGACCCACTCATGCATATGCCAAAATCTGAACTTTAGATTTGTACATCGAATTTGCTTAATTTACCCAGTTCAATCTTCCAAATTGGCATTTTTTTCCGTTATCATGAAGTCAGATACTACTTTAAGGAAGAGTGCCCACATGTTGAGTCCATCCCCGCTACTCATCCTTTTTTTTGAGAATCTCTTGCTACCTCTGGATTCCAGACAGCTATTAACAAAATTGGTGAATTGCTTCACTACTTCAGGTCCTATTAGGGAAGCCTGGGCCAGTGACTTGAATTCAGAGATATCAGTAGAGTTTTGGGAAGGGGCAATGTCCCACGTTCATTGTTCTATAAACTCACACTACTAGGTTAATCCAGTATAAGGTTTTCGAGAGGCAATGGCACACGCTCTGCTGCGACAGCACACATTGTACTCTGCTTGACTTTGTGTGTTATGTATAATGTGTGTCTTCGTGTATTGTTAAGTGTTTTGTGTTAAGTGCTAAACTCGGCTGACCTACCATGATCAGAAATCACAATGCGATCGTCATTCTATTGACCATTTAATGGTTGATTTGCGCTAGCCTTGTACTGCTGCCAGACACCGACAACAGGCCACTCACCTATGGCCGCAATGAACTCCTGCTCCATTTGACCTTGCTGCTGTGTAACATCAAGCCTGAAGTGGATCTACCACCAGAGCTTCGGCCGAGGAAGAGAGGAAGACGAGGATGCATCCACAGCAGAGTAAGGAAGCGTCCATTTAAACCATCTCTCGAGAGGCGATGGTGCACGCTCTGCTGCGACAGCACACACTGTACTCTGCTTGACTTTGTGTGTTACGTATAATGTGTGTCTTTGTGTATTGTTAAGTGTTTTGTGTTAAGTGCTAAACTCGGCTGACCTACCATGATCAGAAATCACAATGCAAACGTCATTCTATTGACCGTTTAATGGTTGATTTTCGCTGGCCTTGTACTGCTGCCAGACACCGACAACAGGCCACTCACCTATGGCCGCTCCACCGGACCTCGTTGCTTTGTAACATCAAGCCTAAAGTGGATCTACCACCAGAGCTTCGGCCGAGGAAGAGAGGAAGACGAGGAAGCGTCCATTTAAACCACCTCTTCCCTCCATCATTCTGTCTAATGTCCGTTCACTCCGGAATAAAATGGACTTACTTCACGCTCGGTGCTGACTAGAAAGGGCATTTAGTAACATCTGTATCTTGCCCTGTCTGAAACCTGGCTCAACGAGTCAGTCCCTGACGCCGATGTCAGCCTGGAAACTTCACCATCATCAGGGCTGAGAGAACAAGTAAGTCCTGGGTGGCGGGGTCTGCCTCTACATCGACAACAGGTGGTGTAACAACATCAAGGTGCACCGTAAAGTGTGTACACCCAACCTGGAGATGCTGACCATGTCCGTGTGTCCCTACTATCTCCCCCGGGAATTCCCAACTGTTGTGATCAGCTGATCAGCGCAAACGACAAGCGGAGCTAGTTGCCAAGGAGGGCAACACAATGCTAGCCAAATATCCCGGAGCTCCAGTGTTTATCCTGGGGGACTTCAACACATGCGGACTGGACAGTGTGTTAACATCATTCCAGCAGTATGTGGATATTCCCACCAGGAGAGGAAACATCCTCGACTTGTGTTATGACAATATCACCAGCACTTTGCATGCTCATTTATATCCCCCACTCGGAGATGCAGACCACAACGTTATCTGTTTACTTCCTCTGTACAAACCCGTACTGAAAAGCCACAAGCCACAGTGCTACAGTGCTCCACAGTGGTTGGAAGACCCCATTACACAACTCCAAGGCTCCCTGGCATGCACCACCTGGAGTATCTTTGATGGAAATCTGAATGACAAGGCTAATGTCATTACAGATTACATCACATTCTGCATACACAGTCATTCAAGTTAAAGTAATTAAAAGATATCCTAACTATAAATCTTGGATAACTTCTCAAATAAAACAGTGCCTGAAGGAAAATCATAAAGCCTTGACCCTCAAAGACTGGCCTGGCCTCAAATTGGCTAATCGGAAAATAAAAAATGGGTTCAAAGCAAAACTGGAATTCAAAAACAAATTAGAATTTGAACTTTCTGGAAAGCCTGTTTAGTGTCCATGCTACCAAATTAATGTTCTACCTGGATGTGAAACTAAACCCAACCACAGTGCAATAAACAACTCAGAATCCCTTGCAGTTGAACTGAACACCTTCTTCACCCGCTTTGACAAAGAGGACTTCTCTGTAGAGCCAGACCCCTTTTCATAGGAGGACGTAAGGAAACAACTAAGACGATGCAAGCTAGGCAAATCCCCAGGGCCTGACGGCATCCCACCTAGGGTGCTGAAGTGCTGTGCCCTGGAACTCGCCCCGATTCTCCACTCACTCTTCTGTGAATCTTACCGCACAGCCACAATACCCACCACCCTCTGGAAAACTGCCACCATCATCCCAGTCCCCAAAAACCCCGGCCCAAAGAACCCAACCATTACCGTCCCATTGCCCTCACCCCCATAATCATGAGGTGCCTGGAAAAACTACTGCTCAACTTCCTTCTTCCGGTTGTCACTCCTCAACTGGACCCCCTTCAGTGTGCCTACAAAGCTAAGAGGGGCACAGATGACGCTGTGGCCTCCCTACTGCACCTCCTCCTCCTGCACCTGGACTCCCCAGGCACCTTTGCCAGGATCCTCTTCGTGGACTTCAGCTCTGCTTTTAATACCATCCAAAAGCATCTGATGATCCAGAAGCTTCACTATTTCAACATCTCCACCCGTCTGATCCATCTGCTGCACAATTTCCTCAGTGACAGACGGTGCGGGTGGGCAATACCACATGACCTGCACTCACCATCAACACCAGAGTGCCGTCCTCGACTACCACAGCACCATCACACACTTCAGCAAATAGTGTGAGGACAACCATCTCCCCCTCAATGTCAGTAAGACCAAAGAAATCATCATTGCTTCCCTGACACCACAGCACCCCATTACTATCAATAACCAAACAGTTGAAATGGTTGACAGTTTTAAATACCTTGGAATAACACTGGACTATAAACTCGACAACCAACACACCACTGACATCTTCAAAAGGAGCCAGCAAAGACTGTCATCCGTAAACTCAAAGGACTTTATGTTTCCCCCCATCTTCTCCTTCTACTATATCAAAGCATCATCCATCCAGCGCCATATACTGCTCCTCCTATTTCTACAACATGCTAACTCACCAACCGGACAAAATTCACATGAATCACCAACACAGCGTCAAAGATAATCAGACTCCCCACCACACCCAATCTCACAGAAATAAACAGCATTGTGAAATTTTTGTATCTCATTTTTATTTTTTTTTATCTTGTAAAATGTCTAGCAGCTTTGTTTTGTTCTGTTCCGTTTTTATTGTGTTTTTTTGTTTTGTATGTCTTTTCAATATATCTTGCCATTGTAAAATTGAAAACTGTAAATAAAGTAGTATAATTAATCTCAATGAGTCTTTTATGTGGTTAAATACAGGATATATATTCTGTACTGTGTGTGTTTGTTGTATTTTTTTTATTTAACTTATTAATAACTTCAGTCACATTTTTCCAGACCTTTATACAGGACTACCCATAAATAACACAATAATAGTATTGCCATCATATAATGCTTACCAGCCTGGTATTGGGGTGTACGACACAGTAATCTGCCTGCTGCACAGATCCCTGCTACACCTGGAGGACAGGGGGAGCACGGTGAGGGTCCTGTTTTCTGACTTCTCCAGTGCTTTCAACACTATCCAGCCATCACTGCTCAGAGGGAAGATGGAAAATGTGGGTGTGGACCAACAACTGGCTGCATGGACAATAGACTATCTCACCAACAGACCACAGTATGTGAGGCTCCAACACTGTGTGTCTGACGTTGTGCTCTGCAACACAGGTGCCCCTCAGGGTAAGGTGCTCTCTCCCTTCCTCTTCACCCTTTACACCTCGCACTTTACCCACAATTCCACACTCTGCCATATCCAGAAGTTCTCAGATGACACAGCCATTGTTGGATGCATTTCTGAGGGGAACAAACTGGAATACAGGACGGTCATCAGGGACTTTGTCAGCTGGTGTGAGCTCAACCAGCTTCAGCTAAACACTAGCAAGACGAAGGAGATGATTGTTAACTTCTGGAGGAAAACATCCCACTTCACCCCGGTGAACATCCAGGGATTGGACATTGAGGTGGTAGATAATATAAATTCCTGGGTGTTCCTGGGTAAAAAACTGGACTGGACTGACAACATGCTCTCTACAAGAAGGGCAGATTCGCCTCCACCTGCAGTGGAGACTGAGGTCCTTCGGAGTAAGCAGGGCTCTCCTCAAGACTTTTTATGACTCTGTGGTGGCTTCAGCCATCTTCTATGCTGTGGTCTGCTGGAGAGGGAGTAGTAAGGACAGGGACTGTCCTCTGCACTCCATTGAGGAAGTGGGTAAAAGGAGGATGTTAGTGAAGCTGACATCCATCATGGACAACACCTCTCACCCCCTACATGACGCTGTGGGGTCCCTGGGTAGTTCTTTCAGCAGCAGACTGTTACACCCTCAGTGTAAAAAGGAGAGGTTCTGCAGGTCTTTCATCCCTGCTGCTGTCAGACTCTACAACACCTGATCAATGTTGTAGTTTGTTTTTCAAATTACCACCATATCATAGCTTTACCACTTTTACCATCGTTTTTTTTTTTATATCTGTATTTATTTATTTCACATAAATGCTGCTGTGAGAAGGAAATGTCCCCGTTGTGGGATTAAAGTAATACAAATACAAAATATAGCTTCCTATATGCATGTGTTTTTATTTTTTTATTACTTATTTTTGACTAATGCTAGGTTACTGCGTTGACCTGGCTGCGGAGATTGCAAAGCACTGTGGGATACGCTACCAGCTAAGAATTGTGGGAGATGGCAAATATGGAGCAAGAGATGCAGAAACCAAGATCTGGAATGGTATGGTTGGAGAGCTGGTGTATGGGGTAAGATTTGACACACACAGAGACACACACAGACACACACAGACATACACAATCCCACTCCAGCTGTACCCTGACATCATTAGTCAAATTTTGAACAGGTTTGGATTACCAACATCCAAACCCATTACAAAAGTCTTTTAGTAATTTGTCATACCACAACCCAGGAGAATCCAGTTGAAGTTGATTTTCCGTTCTTCTTTAGTTATCCCTTGTGTGTGGCAAGACCAAGTTCCTGACATGGCATGTGAACAAAGTGATAAAAAAGTATAATTGGATGGTGGTTAGGTGGATTTTGCAGTAAATAGGTAGGTAAACTGGGTAAGTGACATAGGTGGTAATAACTGGACTAGGTGGATGGTTAGAATTAGGTAAATCCAGTGGCTAGGTAGTGAGGTCAGTAATACACATAACTGTAGATAAATGTAGCAGCTTAAAATGAAAAAGGTTGGGTTTAGTAAATCCAATAAATCTGATAAATTCTGTTGTTACGTAACTGTAATGGGTGCTGAAAAGTGTTATAGGTACGTATATGATTATAAATGCACTGGATGGATATGGTTTGAATCGGGTAAATAAGGTGTTTAGATAAGTGAGGTAGGTAGTGCACATGGATGCTGAAAAGTGCATTTAACAATAGGTAGATATGTATTATAGATAAAGTTGGGTGGTTAGAATGGATTGGTGGTTAGATGAGTGAGGAAGTTAGCAGTAGGCATGGAGATTATTAATTAATTCAACTCATGCTCAACAACTCATGGAAAAAAGCACTAATGTTGAGTTATTGTAAATGGTAAATGGACCTGTATTTGTATAGTGCCTGTTTAGTCTTCCAACTACTCAAAGTGCTTTTACACTACTTGCCCTTTCTCACACATTCATGCGCAATCAAACGCACAGATGACACAGCAATTTGGAATTCAGTATCTTACGCATACTTTGACTTCTGGCTGGGAGGAGCCTGGGATTGAACCAACAATCCAATCCAATCCAACTTTATTTGTTAAGCACTTTAAAAACAACCAAAGTTGACCAAAGTGCTGTACAGGAGAATAAATAGGACATCATAAATGTAAACAGTGATGGTGATGATGAAGACCACTGTGAGGAATATAGACAGAGATGGCGACAACACTGGAAAGTTCCCGTGGCAGACAACACGGACCAAGTCCGACGGGGATGAGCTCGATGTCCGAGCTGCAGAGGCTCTTTCACACAGACGTGCCTGGCGTTACACCACCTGTTGTTGATGAGCACGGACAGTCCCCCTCCTTTCTTCACGCCGGTCGCTGTGGTGTCCCTGTCGGCTCGAACCGTCTGGAAGCCGGGAATGGTGACATTGGAGTCCGGTATCTGCTCGATGATTGCAGGGATGTAGAGTGTAAAGCTCCTCTTCTTCATCCTCCGTTTAACCCCCGCTCTGCAGCCTCACCATCTTCTCCTCAGCTCCTCCGGTATGGAGGGTCTCTCTCCAGTCAGGATGCTAGGGGGCCTAAGGGCGATCATCTGGTCGCGGGTGAAAAACAATGCGACTCCCCGTCGCCATGGAGACCAGCGTAAACAAAAAATAAAAAGTGCTCAAAAACGCCAAAAAAGTATTTAGGCGACATGAAAAAAGTAGTAAGAGAGTAAGAAAGTAAGAAAAGAGTTCAAAATAGCAAAAACACACTGAAAACACACTAAAACTACAACAATGAAAGGAGCTGCCATGACAGGCTGCCGTTGTCGCCGGTGCCATTCCATGGAATAAAATAATAATAGCTGACAAAACAATAACAACCTTGCGATTAGCGGACGACCCGCTCTACCTCTGAGCCACAGCTGCCCCTTTGTTCAGTTTTACAACAGACACGCTTTACAAAGTTTTTGTTCTTTCGGCTAGAAATGACTAAAAATGGTCTGTCATTTTCTCTGCCCTGTCTCTCCTCCACGCGACTTGCTTCTATGTCTCTCCAAAGCATGTTGTGCGACAGGAATAATCATCCGTGTATAACACATTGGGCTGTATGGCTGTGTATTGATTTGTGGATTAAACGAAACCTCAATGAAATTTGCCTTGATCATTTTTAGTAATACTCGAGTAAATCATTTCACCCCTACTTGAGACATATTGTTAAAGGACGAGCTAGTCTCGATAGCAGTTATCGATAAGCTCGGACCTTATTGATTTTCGGGTTTTGACAAATTTGGAATCAGTTCTGTATACAACCAGGTCTTGATCCCCATCCCCAGTTAGCAACCTATTTTTTTTTAGGGTGCAAGTTAATATTGTATTATAGCAGCTTATAATGTTTTTAAACATGGCCAATAGTATCTACTGATTTGATCCGTTTTAAAGTAGGCAGGGCTTATACCACCATGAACAGGGAGTCCACAAAAGAGAATAACTTAAAGCAAATGTAATTCACAACTAAGCTTAACACGCAACAAACAGGATAGGTAAGCAACATCAACAATAAAAGTACTTGATCAGTGGGAGGGATGCTGTGGTGAGGAGCCAGCTTTTATTGGCTGGAAGCCCATGTGAATCAGATGAGTTGACAACCCTACACTATCTGCTGGGCTTGACTAGGAGAGCCTTTTAAACAGTGGGTTGAGGTCACACAGGATTTTGATACAAAATATTGTTTAATTTTCCTCTTTCCAACAGCAGACTCAAGTCCATGAAGATATTACACTGTCAAACACTTCTTCTTTGTCTCTCCACCAGAAAGCAGATATAGCAGTTGCTCCCCTGACAATCACTCTTGTTCGTGAAGAGGTGATAGATTTCTCCAAACCCTTCATGTCTTTGGGAATCTCCATCATGATCAAAAAGCCACAGAAGTCCAAACCAGGAGTCTTCTCCTTTCTGGACCCACTAGCCTATGAAATCTGGATGTGCATTGTCTTTGCCTACATAGGAGTTAGTGTTGTGCTCTTTCTGGTAAGTCTGTTTATGTGTATATTTGTTTTGTTCCCACAAGAACTCTGATGTTATGGGCATTCATGAATATTCTGCCTGAAATGTGCTGACGGAGTGTAGTTAAAGCCTAAAACAATTATAACATTAATATCTCAGCAATGCACATGTCTGAAGACACATAATGATTCCAATTAAAGTGTACATGTTAAATCACATAGATTTTAAATTGACAGAATCGTGAAAATATTGCTTAGACAGCCTGTAAGAATCTTGGCCTGCATTACGTCAAATAGCCCATGTGCAGATTTTGATGCAGATCCATACACAAAACTACTATATTCCAAAGACGCGGCATCTGTTCCCTTCTTAAATCTAAGTCCTCAAGCACATTCATACCTTTTTGTTTTTTCATTATTGTGCTCATCCTGTAATAAAAATGGAATCAGAATTTCAAGATCAAAATCTCTGTTAATTGTGTGACAAAATAATTTATATTCAAGGTCCATTTAATTGCATTTTCAGAGCTTTTGTCACCTCTCACAGACTAACTAGTGTAAAGAACAGGCCCAGTTGTCATCACATTACTGAAGTGTGGTGACATAATAACAGGTGGTTGTTTGTCGATGAGCTGATTACCCCCTGTTCATAGAGGATAGGTGGACTATCCTTCCATAAGACATTGGTTCACAAATAAAAATTAATATTCACCCTCAAATTCTCTACCTGTTTCAATCATTACCCATTGAGATACCTGAGAAACAATTTAGAATATGGGATAAAATCATTTCAAGTTTTATATGGAATGGTTATAGACCAAGAGTCAAAACATTACAGATTGAGAAAGATAAGGGAGGTATGGTGCTGCCAAACCTTAAGGAATATTTTCATGCAGCACAAATGAGACGTGTAATTTGCTGGTGTGATAAAGACTATGTAGTAAAATGGAAAAATTTAGAGCAATTTGTACAAGGAAGAGAAATTGAAAGCCTTATTGGGGACAGAGAAGAAACAATGAGTATGATTGAACAGGTGGATACTGTCACCCAATTTACATTAAAATTGTGTTTTAACTTGGTATAAAAATATAGACTGGAGAAAGAGCTTAGACTACTTCAATGGGTGGCCTATGACAGGCATATTCCTAGTGCTCTTGACCAGAGGTTTAAACACTGGATTACAAGTGGAATAACAGCAATATGGAAAGTAATACAAAAAATGGGAATTTCATGAGTTTCCAGGAGTTTAAACAAAAATATACATTACGTAACCAGGACCATTTCAGATATCTGCAAATAAGGGACCTTTTGGACAAAGAAAAAAAGCACAATGTGAATTTGGATGAAAATGGAATAATGAGAACCATGATTGGAATCTATAATTCAAAGAAATATAGAATAATATCTACAATATATCACCAACTCATGGAGAAAAGAGGGAATACAACTTCATATGTAAAACTGAAATGGGAAAGAGAGCTAGGTGTAAATATTTCTGAAGATGATTGGTTGCATATTTAGAGAACACAACAGTGAACGACATCATCACGTACTTTGATTATTTTGTTGGAAAAATGTAATTAGATTCTTTGTCATGCCCAGAATTAAGAACAAATACTTATCTGTACCACAGCCATGTTGGAGAAAGTGTGAAGCTATAAATGTAGATCATTCTCATATTTTTTGGCTTTGCCCTAAAATTATAAAATTCTGGGAAGATGTTCACCTGGTTGTCGTCAAAATTCTGGGTTATGATTTATCTAAGTTATTTATATAACTATATTTTGGCAATATGACCGGGAATGTTGTGTAAAAAAAAAAAAAATTGGAAATTGTGAATGAAATACATGTTATGGCACAATTGAATCATAAGATAAGGACCCAAGAAGAACAATATTGAGAAAAGTGGAAGAAATAGACGCCAACGATAGGATAAGGACTACCACACTGACAATAGTATAAGAACAAACTGTAGAGACATGGCAGAGACGTCATTGTTTTATTTTTTTTATTTTTTTCATTTTGATATTGTTGTTCTTGCTGGTGTCCGTATGTTGCAAATATAAACAATAAAAAAAAGTTATCAAGAAAATACGGGACAAATTGGGATGGTCCGAGCGAGTTGCCTACCCCCATGTCTCAGACAAAAATCAAAACATTTCTCTTTTTATTAAATCAAATTATAGAATGCTTTTGTATTTCTGAGCCTTTGTGTAAACTGTGCTATAGATAGATAGATAGATAGATAGATACTTTATTCATCCCTAAGGGGAAATTCACAGTTTCCAGCAGTATCCACAGACTGATAACAATTAGAACAATAATAACAACATGAGGCAAAATGCAAAATAACCAATAAAATAATAAAATAAATGTAATAGCAATATAACGAGCATTAGGTAAATGTCCTAAGGTGCATGGTCAAATCCAGTTCTTAAAAGGCCTTAAAAGGTGCATAAGTAGGTGGTCACAAAATGCAGGGTGGTATAGTTTGATACAGGGCAGACATATTGGAGTTTGGAGTTTTTCAGTTTTCCTCCCCTGGGTGGGGTTAGGGTTAGGGTTACATTGCGCCTAAAGCTGGTCATCCGCAAGCATATGCAACCTTTCATGCCTGAACATTTAGCTTTTGCTCTTGTCAATACAAAAACTTGTTTGTGTGCATTGTTTACTTGTTTTGTTTAAGTACAGTACGACAGGAAAATATAAGCAATGATCATACTATGTTCTAGGTATCCAGATTCAGCCCCTATGAGTGGACGCTAGAGGAGCCAGAGGATGGAGCTTTGCCTCTAACAACTGAATCCACCAATGAGTTTGGAATCTTTAACTCCCTTTGGTTCTCTTTGGGTGCTTTCATGCGGCAGGGTTGCGACATCTCACCAAGGTTAGTATAGCCATGACTCTACTCCCGATGTCTTTCGGAAAAACGTATGAATTAATCAAAAATAAAAGGTTTGAAAGATTTTTTTGACAAGTCGACTGGAGCCAAGGTGGTTGATGCTGCTGAGCTAAGAACTATGAGAGTGAAAAAGACAAATACAAACAGAGAGAAACACACAGAGGAAGACCAGAAAAAGGGAAAAAAGAGAGACAATAGGCACTGGAGCACTGTCACAGCCGTAACCGTTACCTTCACACAGAGTAAAGTGATGACCCCTGACTTGGTATTACATTTTACGGATATTGTGGATTTGGAAGAGTTTTGAGGAGATTATTTCCTGGTCGTGGTGTTTTGACTTTTCTAATGCACAATGAGGCTATTCAGCAGAGAGTGAAAGCCCTGTGAATGTATCTGGTGTTCAGGTCAGGTTTAGATCTTTATAATAATCTAAACATTAAAAATAATTTGATTTAGTTGAATTCAAGGAACATAATGGTGAGATATAGGCCTACTGTGTATATTTTTCTTTTTTTTCCCTCTTAAAATCAAAAAAGCCTTGCAACCCCTCAGGAAGCTTTATTTAGTCAAGCTTTTATTTTGCCCTAGTCCGGGCGCGAACATACAATATTGAAGCAACACTAAGCCAAACACTAGACTAAAAAGACAGTATAGACTTACACCAATAGTCTACAATTTTGTTAAAGTTCACTGTCAAGATGCGATGGACGCATCGTTTGTGTAAATAGAGATGAAATTAAAAAATAGATGAATCTGATTCTTTGACAAGAAGTTCTTGAAAGTTGGTTAACGGACTGCTTGTTCAGTATGAAAAGCCAACACCCACGGGCGCCCGCTTAACTCAGTCGGTAGAGCTGACGACCCATGTACCAAGGCTTAGTCCTTGCTGCAGCGGCCCAGGGTTTGAGTCTGACCTTCAGCCCTTTGCTGCTTGTCATCATTATCAAATAAAAGCAATAAAAAGGCCAAAAAAATAACAAAAAATGTGCGCCATGATGTGGTGTAGACTCACAGAGAAATCTCTGCTGTTTGTTTCTCCTTACATCTCTTGCCTCTGAAGCAGAGTGTATCTGAGGCCAGACCATCCTCTCAGTCTGCTGTAAGACATGTCGCTTTCCACAGGTGTTTCTAAAGCCTGGGGCACTCTGGAGGGTGGTCATTGAGAAGACGAGTGGTGACAAGACGTGAACATGGTCTCAGCAAGCCTCACACCGTGGATAGAAAGCCCTCTCGGTCACTAGGATTTTATGGCTAACTGCAGTACATGCCACAGTGGTACATATTCCACCATAGACTGCCAAAGTGAAACCAGAGCTTCTAGGTTCTAAAAAAGGGCAAGAAAACCTCACTGAAATTCACATTTACAAAAAACCTATAAAAATCCAGCCCTATAACCGTACAACCTATAAAGTCCTATAGTTCACTAAATTTGTCCAGACAAGGATTGTAAGCAACATAAACAACATTGATTTAATAAGACAGATGAAAGAACGAGAGATTGTATTAAGTTATACAAACTAGTGGGGATTTTCTTTCTATTAGCATAGCAACATATAACCAGGTCCAGGGAGAATGCTCCCTGCAACATTTTACAACAGTTAACCGTCAACAACATTGTCAGAAAAGGCAGAGTTACAGTACAACAGGTCAAAGGCCTTCAATCATTCTAAACTGGGTACTAAACTTTCACCCAAATAGTGTATGAACTTCTCATCTGAAAGCTCAAGTTATGAAACTGTAATAAAAGCATATCATGGTCTGTTTGTCTGTTTGTCTATGTGTGTATTTAGGTCTCTGTCAGGTCGTATAGTGGGGGGTGTGTGGTGGTTTTTCACTCTGATCATCATCTCGTCATACACTGCCAACCTAGCTGCCTTCCTGACAGTGGAGAGGATGGTTTCTCCCATTGAGAGTGCCGAAGATCTGGCTAAACAGACAGAAATAGCATATGGAACCCTGGACTCTGGATCCACCAAGGAGTTCTTCAGGGTAAGGTCTCGATCAAGTTTTTTTTGGAGTAAGTCATTTAATATTGATTATCAGCCAATACCAAGTCCCAAGCAGATATTTGTATTTTCCTAGATAATGCAGGTGTAGAGTTAACACTTCATGTACATTCAATTTATTAAAATCAATCTTGGTAGCTCCCCTGGTAGAGCTGGTGAACCAAGACCAAGTCCTTGCTGCAGCGGCCATGGATTCAAATCCGACCTGTGGCCTTTGCCTCATGTCTCTGACTGTCATTACTATATATTATTGTTATTGTGGTTTTACAAAAAAGAATGAAACACAATAAACATACTTGTGAATAAATAGCTCTACATTGCATCAAAAAAAAGACTTCATTTGAACTGTTCCTTCATCTATTTTTTTCCCCCCATACAAAATAATGTATAAAAGATTCCAATTTGAAGCTCACTGAGAAAGCTTAAAAACACTGGTTGGTAAAAGCAAGTATATTAGGGCCCTTATGATTATGTAGTATTTGTTTTGTGCACTTTCAAATTCAATGCCAGTCTGTTGTATCTAACATCTATTGTCATTTATTCACAAAGTAACAGTTTCACACTATTCCAATGATCAGCAGTTGGTAATGGTAACATGCTGAGGAAGGGAAAAAGAAGACAAAGGATAAAAACGTAGATTTAAATAAAGCCAGTTTTTAATATTCTAAAAGTTGTCTTTGTAAATGTTGTATATGGAGATGCATTTACTACCAGGAATTATAAACATGCTTCAGTGGTACACAGTTGTTTACAGTAAAACTCCACAGGATACCTTGAAGTACCCTGTGCTTAGGGTGTTACAGTGTACATAAAAAGGTACAGGTAAACCCAAATTGTACAGATTAAGTTGTAGTATCTTTAATTTTCTGTCTTCCTTTTTAGCGCTCTAAAATCGCCTTGTTTGACAAGATGTGGCAGTACATGAAATCAGCAGAACCTTCCGTCTTTGTCAAGAAAACATCAGAGGGGGTCCTGCGTGTCAGGAAGTCCAAAGGGAAGTATGCCTACCTGCTGGAGTCCACCATGAACGAGTACATTGAGCAGAGGAAACCTTGCGACACCATGAAAGTGGGAGGAAACCTGGACTCCAAAGGCTATGGCATCGCAACACCCAAAGGATCCCCATTAAGGTGGGTGGATCAGTATAACAATGCTAGCCAACCTGCACTGCCATGTACCATTCACACTACTAACCTGCTGCCTAGCATACTGTTCCTCTCCCCATTCACACAGTTAATTTCTCCACACCTCCAACTGAGTGGATTCAGGAACTTCCTCCCTTAGTGCACTGAAGTCTTAACAGTACTGATCAGAATACACTGGCTGACTACCTGCTATAGCAGTCAGGTGTTTTTTAGCCAGCGTGTGAGCTGTGGCTATGCTCATGTGGAGCCCTGCTCAAGAAAATAAACCACCATGGGGAGCAATGTAGTCTGGTCCCACGACTTAGTACTTAGTACTGAGTGTTGCAGTATGCGAGTGTGATGAATGGGGCATGGCGGCTTACTCGTTGTTATAATAATCCACCTACCCTGATGACATCATCTCAGTGGTTTGTATTTTGACCATGGTTACCACCTCTGACCAATGTCTAGTGGTGGTTGCTGTGACATTTTTGGAGGGCCATTAAAGTTTGAGATTTCAGGTCTTAAAGAAATGCTTCATCACAAAAAATGTATTGGGTATACACTTAGGATAATGTAGTCTCTTCTTTCTATTATTAAATGGGATAACATGATACAATGATCAGTGTGAAATATTCTCAGCCATATGCCGGCTATTTATTGTCTTTATTATTTAAAACTGACTTAATGTTCTTTCTAATGAGGAGAAATTGGTTGCAGGTTTTTAACAATTATGATGAGCTGGCTCTTTAATACCTGGATCAAAAGGACTGTTGTTTATGTGTTTATGACCTGTACGTACGTGCGTGCGTGCGTGCGTACATTTGTTTTCCATTAGAAATGTATTGTCTCTCCTTCCAAAGACCTAATTGGACATATATTCTAAGTACATATTTTATACAGATAAGATTTTAGTCATTAATCCAATTCCCTCAGGATTTCTTGCTTTAGAAACTTTCTAAGTCGTTTAATAGTGGCAAAGAGTATATTTAAAATTCCTTGAATTTACCAGTGATTATATTCCATTTCTGCCAATAGAAAATCCTTAAAGGTCCAGTGTGTAACATTTAAGAAGATCTATTGGCAGAAATGGAATATAATGTTCATATTCATGTTTTCATTAGACTATAATTATCTGAATATAGGAATTGTTGTTTTACCTTAGAATGAGGTGTATCTTCAGATGCCAAGGTTTGCCTTCCATGGAGGCCGCCATGTTGAACCGCCATTCTTCTACAGAAGCCTTCGGTTTCTTCTACATGTTTTCAGTGGATGAGTTATAGATTTAATAGATATCTATGACAAATCCATGTGCACAGCATTGAACAATGACAGCAACGTGTCTTTCCACAAGCCAGTCACTCTGAACACACCGTCACTTTTTTTGTCTGAGTAACATTTATGTTTGGTTCAAACCATATACAGTGCAACTGAAGTTACATCCACAGTGAAGAAATTTTACCCTTCTCTATACATTATTGCCCTATAGGGACCAAAATGTGTTGGATAAATTAACATAAGTTATCATATTTATTTAGCTTTCAATTGCATGCAGTCAATTGCAGCCTTAATTATCACCCATAAACTTAAGCAGATACTTGGTACCTTCCCTTTACTGGCCTTGTACTGCTGCCATTTTCTTATTTTAAGGCCAGGTCACTCACCTGCGCAGTCAAAAACATTCCACTACAGAATATATAAATAATGAAAATGATGAAAATTAAAATAAATGAGGTGTGGGTGTGTGTCTGTATGTGTGCGTGGGTTGGTGCATGTGCATTGAGCTGCATGATAGTCCCTGAGTTTGTTTCTCACTTTTGTGTCGTTTCAGCTTCTCTCTCTCCTTTTCTCTGTGTTGCTGTCTCTCTCAGTTGGCTCTGAAAACTAACTTTTTTCTGCAGAATGTTTTTATGTTTTGATGACGATTGCGGTTACTTGTGTGTCAATTTACAGTTATAGCTGCATTAAGCGATTTTTATATAAATGAAATGATAATACATTTTATAAGCGCTTTTCTAAGTACTCAAAGACACTATACAGTGCATACGGAAAGTATTCACAGCGCTTCACTTTTTCCACATTTCATTATGTTACAGCCTTATTCCAAAATGGATTCAATTCATTTTTTTCCCCAAAAGTCTACACACAATACCCCATAATGACAACATGAAAAAAGTTATTTTTTAAATGTTTGCAAATTTATTAGAAATAAAGAACGAAAATATAATATGTACATAAGTATTCACAGCCTTTGCTCAATACTGCTGCACCTTTGGCAGCAATTACAGCCTCAAGTCTTTTGGAATATGAAGCCACAAGCTTGGCACAACTATCTTTGGCTAGTTTCGCCCATTCCTCTTTACAGAACCTCTCGAGCTCCATCAGGTTGGATGGGGAGCGTCGGTGCACAGCCATTTTCAGATCCCTCCAGAGATGTTCAACAGGATTCAAGTCTGGGCTCTGGCTGGGCCACTCTAGGACATTCACAGAGTTATCCTGAAGCGACTCCTTCAGTATCTTGGCTGTGTGCTTAGGGTCGTTGTCCTGTTGAAAGATGAACCATCGCCTCAGTCTGAGGTCAAGAGCGCTCTGGAGTAGGTTCTCTTCCAGGAAGTCTCTGTACATTGCTGCATTCATCTTTCCCTCAATCATGACTAGTCTCCCAGTTTCTGCCACTGAAAAACATCCCCACAGCATGATGGTAGGTGGTATGAACAGGGATGGTATTGGCAAGGTGATGAGCGTTGCCTGGTGTCCTCCAAACATAACGCTTGGCAATCACGCCAAAGAGTTCGATCTTTGTCTCATCAGACAAGAGAATTTTGTTTCTCATGGTCTGAGAGTCTTTCAGGTGCCTTTTGGCAAACTCCAGGCGGGCTGCCATGTGCCTTTTACTAAGGAGCGGCTTCCGTCTGGTCACTCTACCATACAGACCTGATTGGTGGAGTGTTGCAGCGATGGTCGTCCTACTGGAAGGTTTTCCTCTCTCCACAGAGGAACGCTTTAGCTCTATCAGGGTGACCAAAGGGGTAATTGGTCAGCTCCCTAACTAAAGCCCTTCTCCCCCGATCACTCAGTTAGAGGGACGGCCAGCTCTAGGAAGAGTCCTGGTGGTTCCAAACTTCTTCCATTTACGGATGATGGAAGCCACTGTGCTCATTGGGACGTTTAAAGCAGCAGAAATTTTTCTGTACCCTTCCCCAGATCTGTGCCTCGAGACAATCCTGTCTCGGAGGTCTACAGACAATTCCTTCGACTTCATGCTTGTTTTGTGGTCTGACATGCACTGTTAACTGTGGGACCTTATATAGACAGGTGTGTGCCTTTCCAAATCATGTCCAATCAACTGAATTTACCACAGGTAGACTCCAATTAAGCTGCAGAAACATCTCAAGGATGATCAGTGGAAACAGAATGCACCTGAGCTCAATTTTGAGCTTGATCGCAAAGGCTGTGAATACTTATGTACAAGTGATGTCTTCGTTTTTTATTTTTAATAAATTTGCAAAAATCTCAAACAAACTTTTTTTTAAGTTGTCATAATGGGGTATTATGTGTAGAATTTTGAGGAAAAAAATGAATTGAATCCATTTTGGAATAAGGCTGTAACATAACAAAATTTGGAAAAAGTGAAGCGCTGTGAATACTTTCCATATGCACTGTACATAAAAACATTAAAGCAGTAAAACAACAACAAATAGTAAACACTAAAAACACATTAGACCAAGCTAAACATTAAAAGCAAATTATACTCCAGTTTATAGATGATTTGTTGTCTGCTTAAACAGAGCCACCTGGACATCCCAATGGATTTTTTTTGGTACAGTAATTAGCTGCTGGGCGTCTGTTGCCCCCCTTTTCCTTCCCTTACTATACACACCTGCTGGAATGTTACATGCCTCGGGGTTTGCTGTCATTTGATTAAACCACAACTAATGTTGGAATATGCACCATTAAAGCACAATATAAGCCAAAATGGATAACTAGAAACTAGATTTAAAAAAAAGACCAATCTTCAAGCCATGACTTGAAGATCAGGTCATAATGTAGCACCCACCTGAAGAAGGCCCTAATTATGTCAGGTATAATCAGTGATCCAGTAGTGCATAATCCAAAAAAAAGTTTCACTTTTTGGAGCCCTAAATAAATAAATGGGAATTATTAAATAAAAGTTCCTTGAAATAAATAAATGTAGCCATCACCAAGTGCTTGCTCATGGTGTGAACTGTTGGGTCTCTGTAAATAATTTTATGAGGAGTATGGTCTAGATCTGCTCTATTTGAAAAGTATCCTTAGACAACTTTTGTAAGCCCTCCTTGATGAAGTAATAACCACACTCAGATATGTCCACAAGGTTGCGCCAATAGTCTTTAGCCTCTGATATCAATTAGTTAAAGCATATTTCCGTGTGAAAAAGTGTAATAGCTAAAATATAATATAGGGTACATTTGATGGGTACTTTTCAACATTTATGAAATGTGTATTGAAACGGTAAATTAAATTTTTATTAAATTTGAGTCAGTTTTATAAATAACAGTAGGATGTAGGATTTAGTGGCATTTAGCAGTGAAAGTGCATATTGCAACCAAGTGAATACAGTGGACTCTTGTAGGAAGCAAGGAGATTCTACGGTGGCAGTGTAATGAAAAATGCGTATTAATATTCTGTTTCTGCCATATTCTGCAAATAGAACCTCCTAAATCGTACACACTGGACCTTTTTTATATTATGTAAGACTGATAGAGTTAAGTTTAAAAACTTTAGAGGAAGTTCAGAAGGGCAACAGAGTTGGTTGTACTCTGATGACGTACATCTGTAGCACCACCAACTGTTTCACACTACTTCAATAATACATTTTATTACCAAAAATATCGCTTAATGGAGCTTTAAGTTTAAATCTTTGGTATAATTACTATATAATTGCTATTGTTGTACTCTAACATGGTAGAACCAGATACATATTTTTAAATTTTGATGACTTTCAGTTAGTAATACTGTTGATTCAG